GTCTTGCTCAACCAGTGCCTTGATATCATTCGAATCAACCTCGGTGGGCCGACCGCTGCGGGGTCCATCTTCAAGACTCGTATCTCCGGAACGAAATTTGGCAAACCATTTCTGAGCGGCACGTTTTGTTAAGGCATCGTCCCCGTATACGCTGCATATCTTTCGGTGGGCCTCCGCAGCTCGCTTGCCTTTCTTGAAGTAATAAAGCAAAATGTGCCGAAAATGCACCTTATTCTCCGACATGTTCACAGGTCTATAGCACAAACAAAACTAATGCCAATGAAACCAAATTTGACAGATGAAAAGAGCGGACTGTCACCTTTCCAAAACATATTTGGATTGCCCGATTAGGCAACCAGAACCGGAGATATTCGGAAAAAATTTGCACTACTAACAAAAAGCGAACGAATATATGGATCCACTCAATACAAAAGTGAGAAGGTACTTCTAGCGCCAATCTATCCAATCTAACAAACGATGGCGCGAAAACGCCACCACGCTATCTCACCAAATCCCGCCAGAGAGCCCTCTGACGCATACCATGCTAACATATCTTAAGAAGGTCGGTAACGCAATCTCGCGCGAATTCTAATTCTCTATGGACACATAACAATAAGGGACACTGATTGATAACAGTAATATACGTAAACGATATTTTCTTATTTGCAAAAAAAATTAGACTTGATTATAAAAGTCGTTAAGATCGTTGTAAAGAAATACGAAATCAAGAATTTAGGGGAGACACCTTTTGCAGTAGGGGTAAAACAAGATTAGAAACAATCTGATACAGTATGATTTGACGTAAAAGAATTACATTGAGTTATTGTAAAAAAGTATAACATGTAGGAGTGCAGATCAACATCAATCCCTATAGAATCAGAGATAAAAAAGAGCAAGAGGGATTGTCCGCAAACACATGAAGAGAAGGTGAAGATGTTACACGTACCATACTGAGAGTTAATAGGATCCTTAATGTACCTGGCGCAGAATACTAGACTAGAAATTGCATTTGCAACTTTGAAGTTATCGCAGTATATTTCTAATCCTGGGAGACTCTATTGGACTTAAACTAAACATATACTGTGATATTCAAGTAAAATCAGGGATTAACATACAGAGTTAGAAATGAGCAAAGGATCTTAGTTCAGGGCTCGGCAAAATTTGCACTTCTCGACCGATTTTCGAGAGGCTCCGCCTTCCGCTACTCCTCTCACCGCTCGCCTCGCGCGCAGTCCAAATGCCGCTCGACGTTTTAGGAGCGTCTAACGTTCAAAGAGGGTGCACGGGGCGCTTGCTTTGGGCGTTCACGCTGTAAAACATACTTTATTCTATCTTTTTTTCGCTCATTATATAATTAAGGCAGAAGCAATAGGTAAGCGCTCAAAACGAATACATCCAATGAATTTTCAATGAGTTTTCCACGTCACTCTTGAGGTACTATTTTTGACGCGTTTTTATTTAAGTGGTCTAATAGGCCTAGTCCACTGATAACAATGATGAATTGTACGACCAAATAATTAAACACGAACGAAGTGAAATGAAAAATACTTATTCTGAATTTCGGAATCTTATTGGTGAGATCAAAAACGTCGATTTGCATATTACACGTAGATGAGACAAAGAATCATCGCTCAAGGTAGAACGTTCTTTCATTTTTTATAAGCTTCATTTTTGAAAAGGATGTCTTATATAAATATTTAGATTCGAATATGAAATTCGAAGTCCGAAGTCTCGAAGATTGAAGTATGATGATTCTTTCAACATTTTGTAAAAATCAGCATTAGTTTCTTTAGTGCAATATTGTCTTGTAAATCACATAATTCATCTTACAAGTCAAGATGCTGTCCTTCAATTGGCGCTATAAGGAGATTCTCGAAAAGAATTAATTCAGTTCTGAGTTTTTCGAAGCAAGTAAATCGTCAAATTCGTCTATAAGAGAATTTAAAAAAAGGAATGTATTCTTTGAAATTTCAATTATTGTTATGTTCTTCGAGAAGAATTTGACAAGAAGGAAAAAGTGAAAAATATTATCATTTAAGTGAGATTTTAATATCTGCAATTTTCTTCAGAAAGAATCAACGTGATTCTCTAATTGGGAAATATTTTGATTCGTCCTTTGCAGTTTTCATCCTTTTTAAAAATAAAGTTTATAAATGAGAGACGTTCTAGCTTGAGCAATGATTCTTTGTCTCGTCTTATGCGGCTCGCTATGTGTAATATGCAAATCGATGTTTCTGATCTCGCCAATAAAAGATTCCGAAATTCAGAATAAGTATTTTTCATTTCACTTCGTTTGTGTTTAATTACTTGGTTGTTCATTATTTTCATCAGTGGACTAGGCCTATTAAGGGTACCACTTAAAAAAAAACGCGTCAAAAATAGTATTTTAAGGATGTTTTGTGACGGGTGGCTGGTGTCACCTTGTACGGAAGGCTCGCTCGCCAAGACGGCGTGTAATAAACGATGACTCTCTTATTTTTTATAATAAGTTAGATTTTATTATAAAGTTGAATTGAGATTTGTTTGGAGCAATGCTCGTAGTAATAATATTGCGACAATTAAAGCTTTCGGTTCGATGCGTGCGTACAGGTAATTCGCATTTGGTACGACGTTGAGTAATTTCGCATTCGAAAAAGTGTGTATTGCGAGCAGTGACAAGACCGGCAAATCTCGTCGGAAACGCCGGTAAGTCTCGCGCACTGAACGGTCTCGCGCATACCAATCACGTTATGTGATAGCAGGCAGCGGTAATACGCGACGACAAGTCGATTCGTTCGCACTTAACTTTCGCATTAAGAGCGAGGAGCGATAATTGATGTACATTGATCGGGATCCGGCGAACTCACGATTCTCACAAGGAGAGTGTGCGCGATCGATGGTTTTCTGAATTTGCGCAAAAGGGGTCGCGTGCCATTTGAGACAAACAACGTGATTAGCACAGGATCGAGGTATGCTCGTGTTTTGATCGCTTGGTGTCGACGAGCTGTTTGCTTGCTCCGAGAATATGAAAAGATTATAACAATAATTCCGGAACAAAGGGTGACGTTGAAAATTCTTTTGATGTATGGTATTCGTTTTGAGCGCTTACCTATTGCTTCATTCTGCCTTAATTATATAATTAGCGAAAAAAAGATAGAATAAAATATGTTTCATAGCGTGAGCGCCCCGTGCACCCTCTTTAAACCTTAGACGCTCCTAAACGTCGAGCGGCATTTGGATTGCGTGTGAGACGAGCGGTGAGAGGAATAGTGGAAGGCGAAGCCTCTCGAAAATCGACCGAGAAGTGCAAATTTTGCCGAGCCCTGTCCTAGTTTGTTGTGATGCTGACTGAGTAAGAGACCAAATGATCGATATTCATTTACCGATATTGTGATTATGCTGGGGAGAAATCTCACCCACTGACTATCGATGAAGCAAACAAGTCTATCCAGTTCCACGATAGTGGAACGGAAGTGGAATATGGCGCTATCGAACGGAGTAAAAGAAATAATAAGGTTAGATATGTTTTTGTCAGAATTTGAACTCCGTGATTTCATTACAGGTTTTCAAATATTTTTTGTGATAACCGAGTAGCCATGGACTTCTCCAAAAATAGGGTAGAGCAGAACGAAACATTGCCACCTTCTATCATATTGTGAGGAAGAAAATGAAGGACGGACTGCTGGATTTATATGTACCATCCAATGAGAATTCGGCGAACGTAATCGAAGGATTAAAACGGTTTACACATGGTCATTGCTTAATCAATATGGGTCTGAACAAAGTGGAAGATTAATAATTGCTTGTCCAAACATTGATTAGCGCCTGCTTAAATGCCAACGTATCATTCTTATAGATTACGATTGATTATCGACATTTTATCGACTAATAAGTTTTGTCTCGTGACCTCTTTTACTTTTTATGTATACCTTCTTGTTTTTTTGTACTTACAAGCGCAAACATATTTGTTCCGGAATTATCGTTATAATCTTTTCATATTCTCGGAGCAAGCAAACAGCTCGTCGACACCAAGCGATCAAAACACGAGCATACCTCGATCCTGTGCTAATCATATTTGTCTCAAATGGCACGCGACCCCTCTTGCGCAAATCCAGAAAACCGTCGATCGCGCACTTCGTATGAGAATAGTGAGTTCGCCACCGGATTCCGATCAATGTACATCAAATATCGCTCCTAACTCTTAACGCATCTTCGCGAAAGTGCGAACGAATCGACTTGTCATCGCGTATCACCGCTGCCTGCTATCACATAACGTGATCGGTATACGAGGTATGGCTATTAAATAACGAGACTGCGCGCGCAGAAGGCGTCCTAGAGGGGTAGGGTGGGAAACGAATGCAACGTTGGATAGCTGGAAGTGTCTACTATTCCAGTACGAAAACACGTTTTTGTCGCAGTAGTAGTATTTTTTTCTATAGAGGTTAGAAACGAACTTGTTTTTTTCTCGTGCCGATAACAATGTGTGACGAAAAACACGAGCAACGGATCAATGTGAAATTTCTCGTTAAATTAAAAAAAACTCCGACTGAGTGCTATAAGTTGTTGAAAGAGGCCTATGGTGAGAATTCTCTATCTCGTGCGCGTGTTTTCGAATGGTATAAACGGTTTTCTGAAGGCCGAGAGAGCACCAAAGATGACCAACGTCCAGGTCGACCTGTCTCTGTTTCAACTCCGCAAACAGTGACCAAAATCAATGAAATTGTGCGCGGAGATCGTCGTATGAGCATTCGGATGATTGCTGAGACTGTAAACGCCGATAAAGAAACTGTCAGAAAAATTTTACATGACGAATTAAACATGAAGAAAGTCTGTGCGAAGTTGGTCCCAAAAAATTTGACCCCTGACCAAAAGCTCGTCCGTCAACAGATCTGCTCAGATTTTCTTCAGAGGTTAGATGAAGAGCCTGAATTGATGGAAAACATCATCACTTGCGATGAAACCTGGATATTCCAATACGATGTTGAAACTAAGCGGCAATCCATGCACTGGAAAACTCCTGCATCGCCAAGAATGAAAAAAGCAAGGATGTCAAAATCAAAATTTAAAGCCATGCTAATCGTTTTTTTCGACATCAACGGCATCGTGATGACTGAATGGGTTCCAGAGGGTCAAACTGTAAACCAAACTTACTATTTGACAGTTTTGGCAACACTGCGAGAGCGAGTTCGTAAGAAACTGCCGGAGTTTGTGGAAAAACAAGTAGTGGATCTTACACTAGGACAACGCACCTGCCCATAACGCGCTGTCTGTGAAGCGTTATTTAGCCGCTAGAGGCACTCCAGTGCTCGAACACGCGCCCTACTCGCCTGATTTAGCACCCTGTGACTTTTTCCTGTTTCCGAAGATCAAGTCTGCCTTAAAAGGAACCCGGTTCGAGTCGATGGAAAAGGTGAAGCGAAAATCGGCGGAGCTCCTA